TTGTTCGGGTATTTTCCCATGTCATTGTAGTTGTGCTTTTAAAGCTGCTTTTTAAAGACGAACACAATACAGAAGTCTAATGATGGCAGATGAGATTCTGCCGAAACGTTGCTACAACTTTAAAAGCACAACTATAATGACGTGGGAAAATACCCGAACAAAGCTGAATACCATACATGTAAGTACCTGTGGAAACTTAAGAAAACACACACACACACACACACACACACACACATATGAATCTGCAGAGGTGAAATTATATAATAGTAACCACATGTAGCATGATCTGAAATGCTTGACTTCCATTTTCACTTTTGTTGCTTGTCAAAATTTATATTGGGACAATATGGAAAGTTGAACAGTTTTACTTTAAAAATAAATATTGATCTAATAATTGGACTGTCTCATTATTAACAAAACTGTTTCTTTCTTTTACTGATTTTCAATAGGACTGACATGTTGAGTGATTTGTACCCAGTATTTCAAAACTGAATTTTATGGAATATTTCAAGTAAGGCATGTGCCAGAACAAAGTGAAACCTTTGTAAATCCTAACTGTTTACATGGAAAAGATGTAAATCCACGATTATCTCTTTCATTGATCAGTGACTCTCACAAATAATCATACTGAAAAAAGTTGATAGGATCATGCCGTATTTAAGTCTGCAGTGTCTAATTAAAATGGGGATATTATGATATTTCTTAAGGTGCCATGGAGTATTTTTACCTAACCAAAGATTGCTACCTGCGATTTGATGATTTATAATTTCAAAATGTTGATAGTAGCTGAGTTAAAGGAATTGAGTATGTGGTGTGTGTATATACATCCACCCACAGATATACACACATACATACATATTCTCTCTCCCTCGTTCTCCCCCCCCCCCAATATATCTATATATACCAGTTAAACAAGTTTTGTGGCTGAAGTGCAAGTTCTTTAACACTATCCTGCTAAATTTAGTGTACTTTACTTTATTGTCATTGCACCTTGTACAACGAAATCAAACACAATCTTCAATGCACATCGTGACCATGACAATAAACACAAACACACATCCTTCACCCTTCACACATTGAACCAGAAACCCCCGCCACCACATCAACACTGCACTATATAGCAGAATTCAAAAGAGCTACTGCCCTGGGACAGAAGCTGTTTTTCAGCCTATTTGTCCTTGTTTTTATTATCCTGTACTGTCTGCCAGATGGTAATAGTTCAAAAAAAAGGTTCCCAGGATGAGATGGATCTTTGAGAATATTTTGAACTTTTTTAAGGCAGCGGGAGCTATAAAGCTCTTCCAAAGAGGGGAGAGGGCAACCAATGATCTTCTGGGCAATGACATTAACTCGCTGGAGTACTTTCCTATCTGCCACTGTGCAATTGGCAAACCATACAGAGGTGCAGTATGTTAAAATGCTCTCTATGGGGCAGCGGTAGAAGGTCACCGGCAGTTTCTCATTCAGTTGCTGTTTTCTGAGAAGTCTCGGGTAGTATAATCTCTGCTGGGCCCTTTTCTCTTTTAGGGTAACACCCAGAAACTTAAAACTGGCCACTTGCTCCACTCGGTCTCCACTGATAAGCAAGGGCTGGATGTCTGATCTGTTCCTTCTATAATCCACTATAAGCTCCTTGGTCTTATTGGTGTTGAGGACCAAGTTATTGTCTCCACACCACGGAAGCAACCGGTCCACTTCATCTCGGTAGGCAGACTCATCCCCCCCCACTCCCGGAGATAAGCACTGTTGTATCATCTGCAAATTTAGCAATAGTATTACTAGCGTGAGTGGGAATGCAGTCATACACATAAAGAGTAAGGGACTCAACACGCAACCCTGTGGTGTACCAGTGTTAAGAATAAGGACTGAAGTGGTATGATTACCTAATCTGACCCTCTGTGAGCGGCCAGATAGGAAATCCATAATCCAAAGGCAGATTGAATTAGAAAGCCCAAGGTCCAGAAGTTTAGACACCAGTCTATTAATCCACAAAATGTATCCTCACATAGTCCCCCCCGCTGTTCTAGATGAGTCAGAGCAGTGTGAAGAGTGATGGCTATAGCATCCTCTGTAGATCTAAATGTTCTAGATGTAGATCTAGATGTAAATGTAAATACATTTGAAAGTAATTTTTTTTTTTAAATTGTGATTTCAAATCTTCCCCCTCTGCTCATGGTATAGATGGATTGAATTTTAAAGAAGCTTCCCCTGCCCAATTCTCAAAATAAAGTATCAGTGTAGGATTGCATAAGTCTGTTGCATATATGCATCACAAC